ATAAAAATCACCTATAATTTTTAAAAACAGGGTTTGGATCCCCATACCAGCCAGCCTCAAAAAAAAAAAAGGTGGTGAGTGCGATAGAAGAGACTGGAGTGAGGTCCAACTAACCAAAAACAGCCTAATCTAATCTCTACAGGATCCTCCCTAGTTGAACCAAACCCTGGCTGTTGCCACCATCCTGTCTGAGCCTTGCCTCTCATTTTAGAGCTTGCACAGAGGAGGGGCCACACACCAGACCCCAGCACCTCCCCTCAATCCTCCCACCCCCACTCAAAAGGTGACAAAGGGACAAAGTAGCTCACTTGCACAAACACTAAGTGCTCACTGAATGTGCAGGAGGGAGGACAATGGCCTGGCACCAAATGCAGCCATCACAGGACAGAATGGAGCAGTCCTCCTCTGATGGCCTGAATGTGGGAAGCAAGGCCCAGAAGAATGACTGGTGAGTAGGAGTAAGAGCACGGCTAGACCTGAGCCTCAAGTGCGTCAGCACAGCAGCCTCTGCTTCCAGACCCACACCAAGGCCACACTTTGCATGTGCCACTGCAGCAAGGAGACATTCTTGATTCGTCTCAGGGCTGACCTCACTCTAATCCAGAGCACATGAAGGCAGGTGGGTAGGCCCTCGTCAGTGTTCATTCATCCAGAACCCAGTGGCTGCAATTGCTTCCCAAGCCTCCTATCAGAAAGAAGTCCTTTTTGAAAGAAGAGTTATAGAGAGAGCAGTGAGGAATTGCCAAGAGAACAAGTGAGGTATGTACGGTGTTGATGTTCACGTGATCTGAGCTGCTGCCCACTGTCCACTGGCAATTCCCCATCCTCACACATGAGGCTATTTCCAGGCTCAGGAAGCGAGCTGGCAAGTCCAGCTGCCTTGGGAACAACTCTAGTCTACAAGCTTTTTTCCTAACAAGTTTTAAGTCTCCATTTCGACTTGTTCTCTTACAGTCTCCACTTACAATTTTAAAAAAAGGGGTTCAGGGCCTGCTGGGTTCACAGAAATCCAGGAAAAATAGCCGAAGGAAGGGCCAATGGACATAGTCCCCCAAATATGGAAGTGCTTCAGAACATGCTCCAGGGGTTTTTTGGCAGATAAATCCTTACTTTATTTAAATTATACACTTCTTCATTTTTACAAGTGTTTTTAAAAAATGTTTTTCACAATCACAAAACATTACTAAAATCCAACTTTCCAATGAAATACTTACGCATGCACACAGACACAAGCACATACACATACAAGTGTGCTCAGGCACACATATGCATGTACTCACACATATACACATGCGCACACACGCACACGCACAAGTCTCTATGCAAAGACTAGCTCCAGAAGGGAACATAAGAAACCAGAACCCATAGCTGGGTAGTAGGAAACTTATTTTTCGTAACACATTATGTACCATGAACATATGCTCTGCATTCAAAAAAATTACTTTTTTAAGAATAACTTAAAGAATTGACTTAGTAAACAACACTGGTGAAGATAAACTACAATTTAAGAAAGAATCTTTTTCCCCTTTCATTTTGAAATGAGCCTTTTTGTCTAATTGCATCCTATCCCTTAGAAAAGCCTTTATTTTTTTACTTTGGTGGCTATAACCTAAATATTAAACATCTTGTTCTCTTCGTTTTTTTTTTTTTCCTTTTTGTCTTTTTTACTGACCAGTAACGGGATCGCAACCCTCGGTGTTGCGCCCACACCACACTCAGCCAGTGAGCGGGAACCGGTCTCCACATAGGATCCGAACCCTCGGCGGGAGCGCCGCCACACTCCCAAGCGGCACACTCTCCAGTGTGCCACCAGGCCGGCCCCATCCTGTTCTCTTCTAAATTCATTATAAAGCATCCCACTACATGGGCATCCATAAACAGCCCCCAGCATGCCGACTCCTTCAAGCATCGCCCTCCCAGAGCGTCTCTGGAGCCTCGCCCGCCCTGCCTGGAGCTTGCTCTCTGATGCAACCATGTGCCTTTGTTTCCCTGCTCCATGTTCCCGAGGACGGCCTCTGATAGGGCTTCTTACAGGGACTGGAACACTTGTGTAGGTCCCTCCCACCAACCTCTCACTCTGCAGAGCCAGGAGTGAGCTGACCCACCACTGGACTCAGGGGCAGTGAGTCTGCAGCTGGGAGCCTGGGGCGGGGCTGGGGGCTTGCTCCATCCATCACTGCTCTTCACGCGTCTCACTGATGCCTCCGCAGAATGTACTGCTGTGGGAGGAGGGCAGCCAGGATCCCAATGGAAGTGGGTCCTGTGAGCCTCAACCCAGCCAACTGCACACTGGGCACCCACTGCTACAGCAGGTGAACGTGCTCTCTAAGCACGTCTGCAAACCCATCCAATCCAGCCTTACCCTCCAGGGGAAAAACTGGTCTTCCAGGCGACCAATTCCCAGGCACCCTCGGATGTTCTTGCCCCACACAAACAACTCTCCTTTGTCTGCAAAGAAAGGAAAACAGTGGCTTGGTTGGGGCTAGGCAAAGAGCAAGTCTCCAAGAAGAGACTTTCTAGATCTAGGTACAAACAGAGCCCACTATTAACCTCCATTTTTACCAGTTATTAATGCTTTCTTTTGAAGGGAAAAGTGAGTGTCTTACAAACTGTCCCCATACCAAAAACCCGTCCAAGCCCAGGCCGTGCACCGTGTCCACCCACTTGGGAGACGAGTACACGCATGGGGCTGTGGCAGAGGTGGTTCCTGCCCCAGCCCATTCTGCTCGCCCCACATGCACCCCCCCACACACACTTATGTCTGATCGAATTCTGCCCTCTACAAATCCTGGTTCCACCTGGGCTTATCTAATTTGATAGTGAAAATAGGGGCAATTTGTCATTTCTTGTTTGGGTTTCCATATCCTGGCAACATTCAGTCAAGTGACACATAGTTATTGGGTGCCCATTTGTGCTAGGCCTACGTCTGTGTCCTAGGAGGTGGAGACAGGACAGTGACTGAACAGAAATGGCTCCTGTCCTCATGGGACTTGATCTAGTCAAAGAGTTAGAAATAAACAAGTGATCAAACCAATACACTCACGTTTACAATTGTAAAAAGTGCCATAAAGGAAAAGGACAGGGTGCTATATGAGGCTAACCCAGGACACTGAATCTACATGGGGGCTTGGGGGACGCATGCATCCAGGGAGGACCTCCAGACTTCCCAGAGCCCAGCCTTCTGGTCTGACTTCATCCATACCCACTTGGGTGCTCCTTAGCACTGAGTCTCCACCTCGCCACCTGCTACCTGGCAGGTTTGGATCATCATGGAAAGAGGAGGAAATGATGTGGAGAAGCGAGGACTAAGATGACCTGGGCTGATGAAATAAGGAATCCTTTCGTCACAAGCTGACACCAACCTTGTCCTCCGTACTCACATCTCATATGTTTAACAGAAAGATTCTGTCTAGCCCCCAAATTGTTAGCAGACCACAGAGTAAACCAGCCCACTCTAATTCCCAAGTGGTCCTCTACACATTCTGGGCACACAGACAGGGCAAGAGCCCAAGCTCTGATGCTCCTTCTACTGAGGAACAGTGACCAACACCTGCAGGGTGGCCGTGGGGTCTGAGGGGGAAATCAGATAGGGATTTCATTTTGGTGTGATCAGAAATGCCTGCAGGGCCTGACAGCAAACAGGAAAGAATCTACTCTAGTCAAACACTTCACATGGATTTCCAAATATTTGACTCTGCACAGAGTTTAAGCTTAGAACATTGTGGAAAATATAGATATTTGTTGCCCCCAGAATTAGTCCCTATGACTCTTATTTGCTAAATCAAAATAGCTGTGGGCCGGCCCGGTGGCGCACTGGAGAGTGCGCTGCTTGAGAGCATGGCGGCGTTCCCGCCGAGGGTTCGGATCCCATGTGGAGACCGGTTCCCGCTCACTGGCTGAGCGCGGTGCGGGCGCAACACCGAGGGTTGCGATCCCATTGCCGGTCAGTAAAAAAGACAAAAAGGAAAAAAAAAATAGCTGTAAAATTTTCACAAGATTTAGACTTATCTATAAATGGAAGTAACTGCTCTGGTTAAGCTGTGGCAAGAAATTCTTCACCTTAGTTAGCTGCCACTGCCACCACTTAATGCTTTAACACACAGTCAGGCAAAACTCCAGCCCACAGCCAGAAAAGCCCAGCCACAGCCTGCGTGATTGAAGACCCCTGAAATGTAGAATTCAGACAAGAACTGAGTGGTAGCTAGGACCCCAGTACAGAGGGTGGCCATCTGCAACAGTCCTCACATTAGTACGAGGGCAAAGAGCACAGATGTCTTTTTTTTTTTTTTTTTTTTTTTTTTTTTTCCGTGTCCGGCAACGG